GCTCCCTCCCTCAGTAGAAAATTTGAGTGATAATTTGTTCCTGCTTCAGATGGGATTGAGGAGACAGATGAAATCATCGTGGGGAATGAGAAACATGCCGCTCAGGGTGTTTAAACACAGTTGCACCTTTGGTAGTGAGGACTGACTGGTTGGGATTTGCCTGGTGCATGCACAGTTCTCCCACCTTGTGCGGTGTGAATGTGTAGCCCTCCAGTGGCTGTGCCCGGCAAGCTGGCTCTTTCCTCCCATCATGGAGAGTGAGTTGCTGTTTTGCTCTTGTGGTACGGATTTATCTGGCTGATACGAACAGTCCCTTCCAGCAACAGTCGGAGTTGCAGTATGACAACTGTTGTGCTGGGACTCTGAGCAGCCATAAGGAAGGGATCCAGGCACTGAAATCAGAAGGAGTGGTGTGGATGAGCATTTCAGCCTGAACATAGCTGTTATGTACATCTACATCTTGGCATTTTCTTGGGGAGCAGTCAAGTGATAGGATAGCTCACACCTGAGCACTGCCAACCCCTCCAGCTGAGCCCTCAGTGCCTTATTCCTCTCTGCTATCAGGCTTTGCTAGGAAAACCTACTCCCTGCTTATTCTTTTGTTACGAGCATTTCCTTTCACTCTTCCTCCCCTTCTCTGCCACTGTCAAGCCCCCACCTCCCCCCAGCCTCCATGCAGCTGTGGCTGCTGCCTTTGCTGCAAGTCTTTGGAGCTCTCTGCACAGCCCCTCCTGCCCCCTGTCAGCCTGCCCTGTTCGTACTGCTTTGGCAGAGAATGGATGCTATTGTGTCTCCAGCTACAGAGAGCATCCAACATCAACAAACCAGGGCTATTAAAATGGACTGCGGTGGGACTTGCTATTCGTTTGGCCTTTCTGCATAAGGGGAGGATTGTATTCCCCTCTCTGAGCCTCTGATCAGGGGCTGGACATTGGCAGCAGACAGAACTTTCTGCTGCTTTGAAGCTGGCCTGATGTTTTTTCTGCAGCCCTATCCTCCAGGGCTGCAATCTCATTAGATCTCACTAACTAAACAGGGTCAAGCCAGGTTAGCCTGTGGATGGGAGACCTCCCAAGATAAACTCAGGGTGTGGCAGGAAGTGGTACTGACAATCTCAGAGATGGCGCTCTACCCTCAGAATCAGGACTTAGCCGAGTACCCCACAAGAAGAAGTGTGCTCTTCAGTGCTGGCCCCGAGCTGAGAAACAATACCAATGTGCTAAGGAGTGCCAGTAAACTGGTATAGGGATTGTGGCTCTGGATCAGACCTGAGCGGTCCTCTCTGGTGCCTTGTCTGACAGTGGCCACTAACAGATGCTCCAGAAAGAAAATCCCTTGTGCCATCTTTAATAGGATTACAAGGATTTCCTGAGTCGCTGATATAACAGGTCCCACGTCATAGACTCTTTTACAGTGCCCAATCCAGCTCCATCTAAAAACCAGCTGTACTTTCTGTTCTTACTGCTCCTGCGGGCAAGCTGTTGTCCACTCCTCTGCTGGTTAGAGACCTTCTTGTTCCCATCCTAAATTTATTCATACCGCCCTTGTACGTACATAGTGTAAGTCACAAGTTAAGTAGAGTCTAATGTTTATTACAGCGATTCTCAGCCAGGGTGTTGTGGCCTCCTGGGGCACCG